GGCAGAAAACCTTCTAAAGACCCATAGTGGAAATATAACAGGCTTATATAATCCAGTTTAATTTCATAATGTACTGTTCAGACTCAAGCTTTTTTTGATGGTCCTGGTCTCAGAAATTTTACCAAAGGTTTCTGAATGGGACAGGCTATCGGGAGTGTTTTAAGAAAGGCAACTTGGCTGAGAGATATGGGAAAGAATGGTGTCATAGTCTTCTGTGGTAGGAACTGGAAGTGAGACGCTGGGAAAAAGAAATCCATGTAGTAGGATTTTGTGAGACAGGTTGAAAGGTAGTAGGCAGTGGCTAAAGAGTTGGGGACAGGAGTGAGTCCAAGAGGGAGTTCATGAGGTGGATACTAAATTTAATCAAGGCTAAATTTTCTGGAATGGCTGCTTCTAATAATTCCCACCAAATCTGCATGCATGCATGTCTGCTGTACCTGTAGGCCCAGCATTTACTTACACAAAACAACCAATTGCACATGTACCTTTTTGCACGTTCAAGTACCTTTTTTGGATGTGCAAATGTGAGTTTTGAGGATATGTTTTTTATTGGCACAACACCGGCAACTAGTTTTTAAAATATGGCCCTGAGTGTGATTCTAGGATGACCTAAAAGGTTAGGAAAGGAAAAGACTTAGCATTTTCCTTCCAATCTCTGTTTTTGTTTTTAATTAAAATTGGATGGTGAAAGTTGTTGAGCACAATCCTATAATGGTGTATCACTTATGAGTTATCTCAGCTCAATACTGAAATCATAAAACTCTGGACAGAAAATCAAATCTCACCTTTTAGTTACCATTTGATGCTTTATATCAATTACAGGAAATATAAATAATCCTCCCCTGCTGCCATGAATGAGGTTTCCTTACACTTTGCTCGCCACACTATTAGGGGTGTAGTTTGGTTCTGTGAATTCAGTGAGATACAAACTTCAGTAAAATACAGGGGTTTATATATCTAAAGCTTTGGTGGGAATGATATTGATTTTTCCTGTTTTTTTAAAAAGGGTTCACCTTTGTTCTACGTTGTTGTTTTATGTAGTTCCTCCAGGTTTGTGCCGTTTAAATGTTTATCTTGTGACAACATGTTTTTAAAAAATCAGAATGAGCAAAATACTGAGTTAGATTTGCTTTTGGCATTTGTTATTGTATAAACTTTATGCAGCTGTTCAAACTGCTGTAATGAAGCCATAATTTCAAAGATGAGACACACACCAGGAGGCTATAGGTAAGGGAAACTGTGGATTACTTATTTCCATTTCATCACTGGGAAGCCTGATGGAGTTCATCTCTGAACAGAAGGGCTTAATGCATGCAGAAGCTTAGCTGTTAGGACAGCATAGCCTATACTATGGAACCTCCACAGTGTGCTCATGCTAAAACTTCCCAGTGGTACAAATCATGGCTGCGCTAGGTTTAACACTTCAAATCCAGATTCTGAGCCACCATCAACTCTCAGGGTCCCTCTGCCTAGTATTCAAATTAGGCTGTAACTGGTATAGAGAGCCTGCCACTCAAGTGTAATTCAATTCTCATTTTATCTGCTGCTTCTAAGATAGGAAAGTCCACTACCCAGAGAAATATTCCCTCTCTAACAAATTAGAGTAAAGGGCAATTGTCTACAGCCAAAGTGTCTTGAAAGGAAAGGAAACAGCAAATAGAATTATGGCAAATAGCCTTCCTTTAAGAAACTACATTAGTTGTACTGATTTTCAGATGGGGGGTGGGGACAGATCCTTAAGAGCTATAAACACAGTAAGCAAGCCCTGGTTGTGTGTGTGTTTTGTTTTTGTTTTTAATTAAAGTGTCACATTCTGAACCAAACATATTCACTCACATTTTGTCACAGTGCCGTTGATACCTAGCTTTGCTGTGAGTGGAGAAAACGTAACGATCTAATTTGCATACTGAAATATGACCCTGTAAAGATTTCATTACACTATCTCTGATTATTATGGACCTTATCCCTAAAATTATTAGAGTGGAGGTGATACGAGCTTCTGGGCTGTTTTGTTTACAGTAGTTTGCATGGGTTTTGAAGGGAGGAGATGAGATCAAAGGAAAACAGCAGTGGAGAAATATACGTATTTGGGGGAAAACAGCAGATTTCTTAGCAGAAAGATTTTCTAAATGGCCACGAATGTTCAAACAGGCAGCTCACTGCAGCATCTGAATGAAAGTGAATGTAGAGGTTTCTCAGGCTGATGATCGGGTCAACACATTCCATTTTCCTGTTGATGTCAGTATTTTCCAGCATGAGGGAATGCAAACTGCATAGCAGATGAGGCACTCAGATGGGAAGCATTTCATCTCATGGAATGGAAAGAGAAAGCTCTCAGTGTGAGATGCGGGGATATATATTATTAATCGCATTTCTAGCAAAATAAATCTATTTGCTTATAGGATCTCTCTTTTCCCCAGTTCTCCTCTACATGAAATGATCTTGTAAATATGGAGAGAGCAACACTGCAGAATGTATAATGTAATGAAAATTTGCTGTTGCCATGGCACAGGAGTTCTGATTTTATATCCTAAGACATTATTTATTAGTTTTCATTTGCATCTCCCTGGCTCTCTAAACAGCTACATCAATCATTATGATTCAAACAATTAAAAATGCTGTATTATTAAGAAGAAATTAAAAGAAGTAATCAGCTTAACACAATTCCAGCTCAAAACCCTTTCTTTGGCAGCTCATATGGAAAACACATTTACATGCTGTTAACATCCCAAATTGGCTTAGATTAAAATATATCAGGACAGGATTGAAGCAGAAGCAAATCAGTGTGTATGTGGGGGCGGGGGGGAGAGACTGTTTTCTTTCCCAATGAACCACGTGGATTTCCATCAGTATTTGTCGTTAACACTTCAAACAAAAAAAACCACTCCCAAACCCACTAAACTGGTAGCTACACTCTCCTAAGTGAGATCCTGTTGATGTAAAAGTCCAGGCCTCCATTTAATTCCTCTCTCTGACTTGTCTGAAATGCTTATATTGCCAGACTTGCTCTTGTTCCATCTGCAGTATTCTGATAAGTCAGTGTGTGATTCTTTTAATCTCGATTTTAGTGGATGGATGTAACACTTTATAGAAGTGAAAGGGCTGGCTTGATTAGGCAAAAAATGCTGTGCTGTGCATCTTTGTCTACTTCTGTAAGTGCACTTCCAGAAGTGCACTTCAACAGACTCAGCTATTCCTGTGTTGGATTTCTCTGGAGTACAGGGTGCAAAAGGTATCAGACCAGGTGGTTTTGTCTGGTAGACCAAGGGACAGGGGCAGGGATGTCTATGATATGACCATCAAACCCATTTTAACTTTGATTAGACACAATGTTTACCCCAACTCCTACATTCAGAAATGCCTGGAACTGTGAGAGGGTTTGGAGCCTGATGTGTCCTGTTCCTTTAGTGGGCCTGAACTACAATTCCAGATCCAAGCTGAGGGAAAGTTTGGATCTGGATCGAGGCTGTGTGTTTTCACCCCATCTGTTTGTGATGGATTTCAACCCAGGTCACCAGAGATGGAAGACTAAGCCACTTCCTAGTCCTTGCTGGGATGTGTAACACACCTTAAAGCAGGGGTGGACAAAGTACGGCTGGCAGGTCGGATCCGGCCCGCCAGCCATTTTAAGCCGGCCCTCGAGCTCCCACTGGGGAGCGGGGCCTCGGGCTTTCCCTGCTCTGGCACTCCAGCCAGGGAGCAGGGTTGAGGGCCGCTCCATGCGGCTGCCAGAAGCAGCCACATGGACCCGCTCCAGCCAGGGGGCTGCTCCACGCATCTCCTGGAAGCCGTGACATGGCCCCCCCTCTGGCGCTCCAGCTGGGGAGCAGGATTGGGGGCCGCTCCACGCAGCTCCCAGAAGCAGCGGCCTGGCCCCCCTCCGGCTCCTACACGCTCCAATGGCCCCCTGCAGCACTCCAATGCCCCAGACAGGGCAGCGTGCAGAGCCGCATGGCTGCGCCTCCACGTAGGAGCTGGAGAAGGGACATGCCACTGCTTCCGGGAGTGGCTTATGGTAAGCGCCGCCCAGAGCCTTCACCCCTCAGCCTCTCTCCACACCCCAACCCCCTTCCCCAGCCCTGATCCCCCTCCCTCTCTCCGAACCCTTTGGTCCCAGCCCAGATCACCCTCCTACACCCCCAACTCCTCATCCCCAGAGCCCGCACCCTCAGCCAGAGCCCGCCTCCCGCACCTCCTTCCCCACCCCAGCCCGGAGCCCCCTTCCACACCCTGAACTCATTTCTGACCCCGCCCTGGAGCCTGCACCCCAACCCTAATTTTGTGAGCATTCATGGCCCGCCATACAATTTCTATTCCCAGATGTGGCCCTCGGGCCAAAAAGTTTGCCCATCCCTGCCTTAAAGTCATGTAGACCAAATGAAAGGTGATTGCCACAAATGTCCCTGATGTCCATTGTCCATTCTTGCCAATATAGGAATTTATACCAGCTGAGAATCTGGTCCCATATCTTTTCCATGTCTGTAAGTCACACTACTTAAAGACAACATTATGAAACAGCCCTGGGTCTAACAGCCCAAATTTCCCAACTCTAATCACCTCACACTTAAAGTTAAACTTACCCATGTGCAGAGGGACAGCACAAAGCCAAGACACCATTTTAATCCCTATTTTGAGAGTAAAATGTCTTTTGCCCAGAGTTGAATTTTTTACCCTTTTTTACCCTTAGTGATATTTTGTTAATGTGAAATCCCAAAAGGCTTTTCTAATTGGTAGTAACGCATCTGACTTCCTAGTTTATACTACAAAACTTGAAGCATGGAGAACTTTAAAAAAGGGAAAATAATTGTTATTACGAGGGGCTTCTTTTGTGAATATATATACATTGTCGAGCTATAAGCCCTTCTCTATTACAACTCAAACAATGTTGACTAGTCCATTTAAAACACAATTAAAATATGCAGTGTGGATGGCACATACTTGCCCATAACTATGTTAAAGCATTGAATTATAATAGTATAGAGGGGACCTAAAAAGCATGACTGACTTTCCCTTCCCAATTTCCCTATTTGCCTCCCAGTATGAGACACCAACTTATATTTAATCCGCATTTTACAGTGTGCTTGAGAGATTGCTTCTACTGTATGGTGCAATTCTATTTTTCTAGCCCTGGATACCCCCGTCAGCAGGGCCAGTTTGCATACTTGATGTAATATTATTTTTCTAGCCCGCAGCAATCTGAGGGATGAGATTGTTTGCCTGGTATATTTTATATTTTTTTGAGCCTGCGGTACCTCATGTGGGGCAAGGGAGGAAGGAAAAGCTTTTTCATCTCTAATGTTTATTGTAGTTGTGTTATTCTAACCTCCTGCATTCTTCATAGGGGATGTAGAAGGAGGGGAAATAACTTTAGTGGTGTAGTTTCTACTTTTCTGCTTTATAAGTTCTGTGTCTTAACTGCAAGATGCATGCGTGTGTTCAGCTAATCATTACAAATATATTCATACGAGTGCTTCATGTTCTTCACTGAGCCCATGGCTAGGGGGAAAAAAACCCTGCACAGAGGTGCTGAATTCCATTTCACTAGGGAGCATATACTGTATCCAGACATTTAGCTTATTTTGTGAGAATGCACAATAAACCCACGTTTATCTTCTGGGGCCCACCGCTAAACCACCTAAGTTGATGCTTTTGCAACTTTGACATGCTGGCACCATGTTGTGCCCAAAATGAGTTAATAATCATAAGTTCAAGAAAATGTTTTCACCACTTGCAGCTTCAAAGTAGTGACATTTACATAAAAGATTGTAGTTGGGCCAAGTAAGTGGAGTTAAACATCAAAATACGTGTGTACAGCACTGACCCATGTGGTCAGCATTTAATAAATAAGAGTATCACAGAAAGCCTTCAGTGAGAAGGATCATAACTATGCTGTAGAGCTGTGGTTCTCAACCTTTTCAGACTACTGATCCCCTTTCAGGAGTCTGATTTGTCTTGTGTACCCCAAGTTTCACCTCACTTAAAAACTACTTGCTTACAAAATCAGCTCTAAAGATCAGATCAAAAGTGTCACCGCACACTATTACGGAAATTGCCTACTTTCTCATTTTTACCATATAATTATAAATAAATCAATTGGACTATAAATATTGTACTTACATTTCAGGTATAGTATATCGAGCAGTATAAACCAGTCATTGTCTGTATGAAATTTTAGTTTGTACGGACTTCGCTAGTGCTTTTTATGTAGCCTGTTGTAAAACTAAGCAAATATCTAGATGAGCTGATGTCCCCCATGGAAGATCTCTGCATATCCCCAGGGTTATGCATACCCCTGACTGAAAACCACTGCAGTAGAGAAGAGTAATAATATTGCTATCACATGAAGAATTAGAGCAGAGAGTCTCCAAACTTTTCTATCTGTGGACCACTTTTATTAAGAGATCCTCCAATGGGGTGCCTCCCAATACCTCATTCTCCTTGCTCTCTCAAAATCTGTTGTCCCGCTGATGGACTTGTGGACTACTGGTGATCCAGGGTCCATACTTTTAGAAGCACTGGTCTAGAAATAGGAAAACTTATGATCAGATTGACTATATTTTTAATAAGCACCAAGAGTAGGATTCCCATTGCCACAATCTCTATATTAATTTGGTCTGCCAACAATGTTGCTATAGATTTTGAGAAAATCAATGTCTATCTGAAGCAACTAATCTATTCAATGCTTTCCCTACACTCTTCCTTTCCTACCTATCAAAGAAATCTTAGGAGATCTGGTACTGTACCTTGCAATTCAGTTTTCACCTCATGACTCCATCTCCTCAAGAAGAGCTAAAATTAGATACGGATAGAAAAAGCAAATATTAACAACAAACCTGGAAACCTTGGAGAGGACTTGATCTGACATCAGTGCAGGTGGAAAATATCACATTTTCTCTACTGAGAGTAATGTGGAGATTTTTAATTGCACTTCTATAGTTCCACTATTTCCTTTCTCGGGGAAAGGGGAGGGGGAAGATTTGGAGATTTTAGGTAGGATTTCTGAAGAGATGCTCAAATTTCTTTCCTGGGTTAAATGAGAACAATCAACACTGTCCTTTTACATATCTGCTATTATGATTACTATAATCCATACAAACAATTCTAGTTAAAGAACATTTTGAAGTATCAGAGGGGTAGCCGTGTTAGTCTGGATCTGTAAAAAGCAACAGAGAGTCCTGTGGCACCTTTAAGACTAACAGATGTATTGGAGCATAAGCTTTCGTGGGTGAATAGCCACTTCGTCAGACGCATGTAATGGAAATTTCCAGGGGCAGGTATAAATATGCAGGCAAGAATCAATCTGGAGATAACGAGGTTAGTTCAGTCAGGGAGGGTGAGGTCCTCTGCTAGCAGTTGAGGTGTGAACACCAAGGGAGGAGAAATTTTGAAGTAGTAAGTGATTAAGGGAGACAATGCATCCAGGGTTCTTAGAAATAAACGAAGGGCTTAATCTTTCCGTGTGTTGCTGTAACAAGGAGAGAGCAAGCACTGGGGACCACTTCCTCTGTGCATATGGCAGGGCACAGTCTTTCTCTCTAGGGCACAGTCCAGCACACAGACACAATTAGACAGCTTTGTACTCTGTTGCTACCCACTTGCACTCTAGCCACTTCCTTCTCAATTTTGTATCACAAGTCATCTGTTCCTCAACAAGTCATTTGAGGATGGCACACTGTTTTTTTTAGGAACCAACCTATAAATAGTCAAGGGCCAAATATAATGTTCTAGCTGTATCCATTTAAATTATACCTTAGAGCAGTGGTTCTCAACCTATTTACCATTGTGGGCCACATATGCAGCTCTGTGTGTTATGTGGACTGCATCCACACAATGTGTATACTACCTGTATGGCCCTGTATGTCACATGGGCCGGAGGTGTGTGCTGACTGAACTGCAAGCAGGCCATGGTTGAGAACCACTGCCTTAGAGAAACCAGAACGCCAGTTATGGCCATCAGCCTCCATGGGAGCAGGGCCAGCTCCAGGCACCAGTGGAGGAAGCACGTGCCTGGGGCGGCACATGCTAAGGGGAGGCATTCCGTTAATTCTTGGGGCGGCACAGTCCGGGCGACTTTCCGAGTGGCTTTTTTTTTTTTTGCTTGGGGCAGCAAAAATGGTAGAGCCAGCCCTGCATGGGAGGGCAAATGAAATAAGTCCTTTGCATCAATAAGAGCATGAATGGATTTGAAAGTGTCCATCCCTCAATCAGCCAGTGCATATGCTATTGTCAGAAGCTGATACAAGCTCAGAGACAACTTTGTTCCTACTCAGAGGAATGGTAAAGTGGACTCCACAGTATGTCCCGCAAGACTTCCTTGGGGAATGTTGCCCTTGAAATGAGTCCTTCTGCAGAGGAGGGCACGCTGAATGGGATTGGGTTGGCCAGGACAGGATTTAGCTCATAACATTTATTATTAGCAAGAAATTTTAATTGTGTCCAAAGGCTAAATTGATGTTTAATTTCTCTTAATTTTGCTTTTTGGCTATCTCTACAAAAAGTGGTTTAATGTGGTCATAAGAACGTAACATAAGGGAAAGACAATGGTACTGTACACGTAGCCTAGTGCAGTGGTTTTCAAACTGCGGGTTGCGACCCAGTACTGGGTTGTAGAATATAAGGTACTGGGTCGCGGCAGCTCTGGTCAGCACCGCCGACCGGGCCGTTAAAAAAGTCTCATCAGCGGCACTGCCCAGCTAAGGCAGGCTAGTCCCTACCTGTTCTGACACTGCGCTGGGCCCCAGAAGCAGCCAGCAGCGGGTCAGGTTCCTAGGCAGGGGGGCCACAGGGCTCTGTGCGCTGCCCCCGCCCCTAGCACCAGCTCCGCACTCCCATTGGCCGGCAACCGGCCAATGGGAGCTGGGGCGCGGTGCTTGCAGGAAAGAGCTGCACAGAGCTGCTTGCGTGCCTCCGTGTAGGAGCCGGATCCGCTGCTGGCCGCTTCCGCGGCGCCAGGATAGGCAGGAAGCCTGCCTTAGCACCCCCGCTGCACCGCTGACTGGGAGCCGCCCAAGCTAAGCCCACACCCCAAGCCCATGCCCCAATTGCCTGCCCCAGCACTGAGCCCCCCCAAACCTGGAGCCCCTTCCTGCAACCCAAACCCCTCATCCCCGGCCCCACCCCAGAGCCAGCACCCCCAGCCCTGACCCTCGCCTGCACCCTCATTCCTGGCCCCACCCTGCAGCCCTCACCCCCGCACCACAACCCTCTGCCCCAGCCCTGAGCCCCTCCCACATCCCAAACCCCTCATCCCCAGCTCCATTGGGTCATGGGCATCAACAATTTTCTTCAACTGGGTTACCAGAAAAAAAGTTTGAAAACCACTGGTCTAGTGCATGACTAACAGATCATAAGAACGGCCATATTGCGTCATACCAATGGTCCATCTAGCCCAGTATCCTGTCTTTCTACAGTGGCCAATGCCAAGTGCTGCAGAGGGAATGAACAGAACAGGTAATCATCAAGTGATCCATCCCCTGCTGCCCACTCCCAGCCTCTGTCAAGTTATATCCTACTCCCATCCCCAAACACAGTAAATAAAAGGATTTAACATAAATAAATATCACCAAGAGGCTTATACCCTCCTTTGGTAAGACCAGCAATGCAGCCAATGGTTGATTATGACCTTCTTTTTAATTGTCCTGCTTTTCCAAGTGATGCATAAACCAGGACGTTTCTATAAGATTTGGTGGGAGGGTTGTCTGTTTTTGGAATTGGCAGTGGCACCCAAAGACCCTAGTCAGAACTGAGCCCCCGTTGTGCTGGATGCTGCACAAGCACATTTGAAGTTAGTCCCTTATTTTAATGTTTCCTGGTTACCCCAATAGCTATTTGCATATATTTGACAAGGTATTTTCTTATCATACATTATTGAAATATTGTTGCTTGTCCTTCCTTGGATTTCCAGTAAATGTGCCAGTCCATCTGTACCTCTTAGGCACAAAGTTTAGGCTGGTGTCTCACTGTTAGCTTCTAATGCTGAAGAACTCTAGGGTAACATTAATTTGTTTGGGAAAATATGACTCTTAGGCACTATATGTCTAGTATGAGTTCTCTTTGACAGAATGTTCTACAGGCAAATTGAGTTTATTAAACTTTATTTCTTCAATAGGTACAGAACAAAATAGCAATGGCAATAGTGTAGGAAGAATTCATGCTATGAGACTTCTAGAATTGCTCCCGATCCTCATTTGTTTTACATTCCAATACAAAATGAAAATAACAAAAGATCCACCTATATTTTGAATAATTTGTTTTATTAAAAAAAAAAC